CAGCCCCGCTGCCCCGCGCCAGGGACGGGCACGGGCGCTGACCGGTCTCTCTCGTCCACAGCGTGAAGGTCTGGGACCTGCCCCAGCAGACGGTGCTGCACTCCTACCGAGGTGAGTGTCCCCAGCCCCTGGCCCCGCTCCTCCGGGCCCCTCGCTGCAGGCTGAGCTCCCTCCTGTCTGTCACACCACATCTGACGTTTGGTCATCTGTGAAGTCTCTGCCATGGGCTTATTTCTTTGTTGTTCATTTCTCCTTGTAGAGATGCAAGGCAAAAAAACTTATTTTAGAGTATTTCTTCTGTACTGAAATCTTTCTTCCTCCTGCATGTGGTCCTGCGATCTCCCAACCTGTATTTGTTTTGAACAACAGCTCATTCGAGATGCCAGTCTCTGGAGATGGGATATTGTGATCTCTGGCCGCAGCAGAGGCCACACTTTGTTTGATCCCTTCCTGGCTGACCTCTTGTCTGGGGAGGCTTCCTCAAGCTTGTGCATATCACAGGGACCGACAGCAGTGGCTCTGCTTGGGTTGGGCACCTCATCACTTTGGTCGGAAGCAGTTGGCCATTGCTGAGTAGAAGTTACCCGGTATCTGGGCATAAACTATTCTTTATTATACTGCTGTGCCTGCAGAGGTCCTTGGGAACATGTGGGAAAGTTGAATGCAGTTTTTGAGGCTCTTTATCCTTTTGTGCTTTTGGTAGCTCACTCCAGTTCAGTGACGTGTGTGGCTTCCTGTCCTGGTAAGGACACTGTGTTCCTGTCCTGTGCTGAGGTAAAGCTCACTCCCTGTCTAAATCTACCTTATAAAAATGAGATTTAATTTTGGTTATTTACAGTTACTGAGAAAACCACCTGTTGTGTTACAAGCCCTGCACCTGTGCTATTTCAGTGTTCCAGTCTGATAAGTTGACAAACAGCTTACCAAGCTGATTTCTACAGATTTGTCTTAGAATGTGGGAGCTCCTCGGTCTGTCCTGGGGACGATTGAAGGAGCTAACTTGCAGTTAATGGCAGCATCCTTATAACAAAAAGGAAGAGTCTGCAGTGTAGTTTGGAATGTGGGTCAGTAGTTCTGCAGCGAATCTGAGTTTATGTCTACCTCCTGCCACAAAGAAATTGTAAAACCCCTCTCATTCGCTTTGGATTTACAGGACAACAGAACTTTGCTCTGGGACACGAGGTGCCCCAAACCAGCTACTCGAATCGGTACGTTTCTGTATGCAGTCACAGCGCGTGTGGGAGTTTTTGTTGGCAGAGATAAACATTATCTTTTTTCCCCCCATCTTTACTATATCTAACTGCAAATCTAGCAATGCAATGTTTTGGTAGAAAGGCCTGTTAAAACCTAAGGAAGTCTAACACTTATCACGGAAGTACAATAAGCGTTTAAATATTTGTCTTAGTGCAGTAGCTGTGCTGAATGAGATAATATGTTTATTTACTTGCAGTTTGCAGTGCCTGTAATCACCTCCCTACCTCAGTCTTGTGGCATCCACAGAAAAGTGACATCTTTGCTTTGGGTAAGAAGTGATCTCATTATTTGACTTTCACAAAATAAACCAAGGTCTTTCTTTTCACGTGACAATTCTGCTAATAACTTCGTTCTCCCTTCCTCTCCTAAAGGTGATGAAAATGGAACAGTTGCACTAGTAGACACAAAGAATCCCGATTCTGCCCTCAGCTCCGCCGTGCATGTGCGAAGTATCACGGGATTTGCATTTTCTTCACATAGGTACAGTCTGAGATACTGGCATAGAATGGGTGGTACTTGAAAGCCTTATTTGTTTTTAGAGTAAAACTACTGAGAGTGCTAGTTTTGGTCTTTTGAAGAATAAGAGTAAACTCAATCGCATCTCAGTCCTGACAAGAAGTGTGTGAATGTGCGTGAGAACAGTTCTGCACTATTCAGAATTACTGACCCACTTCACTGTGGGGATTTTTGTAATTATTGTCACCTCTGCTGGAAGGATCACTTGCTTTCCCACATGAAGAGAATATTGTCTCTCACTATGCCGGCAACCTGCCATATGATGATGAAAACATTTTTGTAAGATTGGGGGGCTGTTAATTCATTCTACCTGGGTCAGGCTCACTAAGAAACTTATCCCTAAGAAGCTTTCCTTTTGTTCTAACTGCGGTTTCTCTCTCCAATAGTTCCCCCTTACTGGCTTCAATCAGTGAAGACTGTTCCGTAGCTGTTCTTGACTCAGACCTCACAGAGGTGTAAGTACTACACAAAATGTTTTCACTGCTGTGGCTGTTTTTCTTGCTGACTTCTCATTAAGTTCATTACTTGCCTGTATGCTGAGCAGAAGATGAAAACACTCCTCAAACAGGGGAGCATCATCCTAACAAACTAGCAGTTAGGAGTTGCACAAGCCCCTAACTTATCAGTGACAGGGCTCTATGTCTAATGGAGTGATCGTGTTTTGCAGGTTCAGAAACCGTTCTCATCGGGACTTTGTAAAAGGCTTATCGTGGTCTCCTTCAGACGATGCCTTGCTCACTACAGTTGGATGGGATCATCAGGTTTTACATCACACTGTCCCCATACCAACTGGTGAATCTTCTGGAGTCAACTGTGTAAAAGAATAGTTGTACAAACTCACGGTCCAAATTCCTTCCTGGCATTACTTTGATTCTGCTGAAGTCAAAGGTGTGTGTGGACGGGAGCGGGTATGGTCTGTTGTCTGCCTTGAAGCTCGTGGCTAAAACCTTGTAGTAATTTTGAATTAGGCATAAAGTAGTTACAAACCAAGCTCTACCCTCTCCTCTGGATTTAGCTTCACCTATGATCAGACTTCAGTATTTTGCCCAGAAAATAATCTGACAGAGGAGTCTTGGAAAACCAGAGAATTAGATATAATTGAACAGCAACAAAAATGAAAAAGACCATTCTTCCCTCCAGCCTCCGAACCATCCATGGAATTAATAGAAACACTTTTGGAGCAAGGTTCCAGACACCCCCTCTTGTTAGTTTGATGCAAGAGCAAAGTTCTTTGCTATGTAAATCAATTCTTCCAACCAAAGGGAAAGATGCGTTGGCATTTAAAGGCTAGAAAGGTTCCCCTGTTGTCCGTGTGTTAGAGGCTGCTGATGTGGATCCTGTGGTGAGCACCATTTGTGCACCGGTACCAGAATACTGGTGCTTGGCTTGAGGAGGTTTTGTGCTGTGTAAGGATCCCAGCTGTAGCCCTGTAACTGAACACTTTGTGATAGTGCATCGTACCTGCCGAAATACTGGGACTGCGACGCTCGGCAGTGGCTCCACAGCTGAGCCCAGCTCAGAGAGGCTGTGACTGCAGCGGGCTGAAGGCCAGGAGGAGCGAGCAGCTGCTGTCTCATCTCCTCTGTGCTCGAGACAGCTTACTCAAAAGATAAGACCTGTGAACAAGAGTTCATGTAAGAGAAAAACTGGACTAAGGACTTGTTTTCATTTGCTTGCTCCTATAACCAGACTTTGCTTAGCGATAAATGAGACTCCTTACACACTTGTGGCGAGTGGCTTCTTGTGCCGGCAACTGCGGGGTCCAAGCATCCCCGAAATCCCCAAAACAGACTCCATGCAATCCTTAGAGGTGTTTTTGTATACTGCACGCTTTTCAAACGCTTTCCCTGGAACATATTTAACTGGAAGAAAAATAATCATTGCATGCATCACCACTGCTCTAGATAGAGCTTGGTCTGGCCTAGTATTGCCTAGACAGATTAAAGCAGGTCCTGACTAAAGAAACAAAAGTTAGATTGAAATAAATGCTCCTCTGGATTCTGTAGCACAATAGCAACACTAACGTATACACCATGGCCAGTGGGCCCATCCCTGCATAAACACAGGCTTGTGCAGAGCCCACAACTAATTTTTAGGCAGACTAAGCTCTCCCAGGCTTTATACTTCTTTCATGGTCTTTCTAAACTTCTTTTGCTGCTTTTTTGTTTGGTTTTTTTTTCAATTCCCGTGTCAGACAGGTGTTTACAGAGATAACTGTTCTAGACCAGTGTATGACAAGGAGAAGGTAAATGATTATAAAACCTGAGTTTCCTCAAAAGTACCCCCTGAACAACCAAAACCGTTACCTGTTGCAGGCCTCGATGGTGTACTGGAAACTGAAACAGGTCTCATGCTGTGTGTGAAAAAGTTGTCTTGGAGAAAGTGGAAGACGGTTTTTAAATAAATCATAGTTTTAATTTGTAACTGGGTATAAAGCTTCACTGGGCCACTTCTGTAGTATTGAAGAGCAGGCTGAGATCATTCACACAGTTAAAGTGAATTTGTGATTTCAGTCCCTGAAATTAAAGCCATTCTTAAATAAACATGCACCGTATTTACTGCTTAATGCCAGGGTGCTGTGGTTCTTCAGCACCAGCGCAAGGCCGGCTGTAAGTCCTGCTTGTTTTCAGGAAGCCTTTCTTTCCAAAACATCAAGTAGGATTTCCATTCTGCATAGCTTAAAGAAAGAAAAAGTTTCAAAAGTGTTAAACCACATTCAATTCTACATGTTGTCACTCTGTGAGCAAAAAGCGTCCTGGTGGAAGGTGACGCCTGTATGGGCATTAGGTCGTTATTGGTACGTTAACCCTGTTTGTACAATTGCTTAATGCTTCTGCTGTGGCAGCACGGAAAGCATCAATGTGTCCCCATCTGGTAGGTCTCTGGGTGAAGCTTTACCTTCTGCCACGGGAGGGCGGCAGCTGCCAGTGTGACAAGCAGCAAGGCAGCAGCACGTTTCTTTGAAGAGTACTTTTTTAAAATTATTATTACTCTTTTTTTTACTAATTACACTTGGTTTTTTTCACCATCACAAGAGAAGCAGCAAAGAGTGATGATTTATATCGGAGTCCCTCGCCGTCTGTACCCCTGCTTGCAAGGCTGGGTTGAATAGTTACAGCGAGGTGCAGAAACCCTGGCAGTGCCACATCAGTGCTTGTTGCCTCTGTAGGTATCTGCAAAGGAACTGGCGCAAATTCTCTGGGTTTTGTGGTGTGCTCACCCTGTCTCTGGACGACACACTGTTCAGGTTTAGGGATGCTTCTATAAATACTTTGTGGCTAGAGCAAAAGCTTCAGGATACACATGGAGAACCCGGTTCTGTAGCCGGAGCTGGATTAAAGAGAATGCAAATATGTGTAATTTTGAGGAGTGAACAAGCCACTCTGAAGACAAGGCTGCCTTTTATGTTGCTGCTCGCATTGCTCATGCCGCGTTCTCAATCTTAAGTACAACGTTCTAGTTAGGACTTGCAAATAAACACGCAAGTTTCATTGCTAATGAAAAGCTCAAGCCCGAGCACTATTTATAGAAGCAGCACAGGCTGAACTGCACAAGCTCCTCTGCCGGACCAGCCGGGTGCCGGGGCTGGTTCTAGAGCACCCGGGCAGTTGGGGGTAGCTGGCCCTTCAGTCCTCGATTGCGCTCCTGAGAACAAGTCGCCACAGGGTCAGAAGAAACTGGACCCAGCCTTAGGCAAGCTGAAATTCAAACTTTTGCCAAGGCCCATTTGGGATCTGTTTTCCTGTCCTTTTAATCCTATTTGCAGAGATCTCAATCTTGCAGCATACAGACCACTTAAGCAATGCTAAAAAAAACCCCAAAAAGTCAGACCGCACATAATAAAACAATATGTCCAGATATATTTAATGCAAGAAGGTTGGCATTCAATGGCACTTATAAATAAGAGACTTTGTTCAACACTTTACAAGTAAAGCTCTCGGTTATACTACATCAGCAAGTATACTGTGGAGGAAGAGGCAGCAGCAGGGGATCATTTAAGTTACATCAAGACCTGAATGACCAAACTGCAGAGAGGGTTGAAGTGAGAATAATTCCCTGTCAGGCTTCAAGCCTGCTTTCAGTGCTAAGACAGGCTATAAGGTAGGCTCCATTACTGCCTTTAAGGGAAACAGCTGAGGAGCAGAAACAGGAATCACAGTGGTTTTTCTGCGGGCTGTCCTGCCAGAGCTCCCTGGCTAAGGAAGAGGGAGCTCCTGCCCATCCCTGCAGCCCAGAGGTCCTGGCTCTTCCTTACCCAGGTAACTTTCGAAGTGCTTTGGCTGCCAACAGCTCTCACAGTGGTTTCTTTGTCACACAAACAGTCCCCAATGGCCCCAGCATAAAATGTCTGGTTCTTTCTGAAATACTAGAATTTTGCTTAATGCATTCAAAAGCAGCAGGGCTAGCCCCAAGTGTTTAAAGAATAGAATAGTTCCACTGCTTAAAACATCCATGCTAACCAGTTTTACAACTGTGAGCGGAGTCCTGCCTGGTTTAGTTACAGCTTAGTCCACTGTGTGTTCCCAGAATGGGTGTTCATAAAACTGGCTTCTATTATCATGCTTCTAATACTTAATATAAACACACGTCTGCTAGAAACAAGACATACCACGCTATCTATCACTGTATTACAACGACATACGAATTGCATGTCTGGGTGAAACAGTAAATGTGAAATTCAAAGCAAATGGAGGTGCACATTTTGCTCTAAAATATCCAAACAAACGTGTTGGGGATATGCTCAAATTTACAAGAATTCTTGAGGAGAGAAATTGCACACCCACAGCCCCTCCAATTTCTGGGCAAAGTCAATCCCGAAGGCTGAAGTCTCCCAACAAACCTTTAAATTTAAAACTGCTTTTGAGAATTTGCAGTTGCAACTTACTATTTTGAAAATAAAAAGCTAGCAGGAAGAAAAAACAATTAGCTTGCAATCTTATCAGAGAGGCTTCTTTGTTTTGTTCCAACTTTGGCGCAACTTCACCCGATACTAAAACGTGACCCTGAAGCCACACAAACAGGATCCCAGCTTTGCTTCCATGGACACATAAGATCCCTCAAGATGCTTCTTGCACGGAGAAACTTCTATGTTTTAAGCCAGGGAGGGGGACTATTCTACATGACACCGGCATGCTTGAATACCCAGATAGTTTTCTCCATAAACATTTTTCTTAAAAAACCCCAACACTAGATATTTTAAAAGTGTTCTTTCAGTACTGACTGGGGTGAGCATGTCTGTCTGGAAGTCTTCCAAATCACTGTGACTTACTGGCATAAAAATGCCATTTGAATTAGCTATTAGCCTGATTATGGTATTTGCATTTTCCTTTTATTCACAGTGAAGTAAAGCTCAGAATACTTTGAAGCTGCTGCAATGTTTGAAACAGATGTTAAATTATTAGGTGAAGTTGGAAATTACATAAAACATAGAATGTCAATGACATGACATTCATACTAAGACGGCTCTTTTGAAAATTCCACCATGAAGAAAACTTTATCACTGAATTTTGAGGTGAGTTGTAGAGCAAAGTCTGTTTCCACGCACACATACACGTGTGTGCAGCGCAGAATAAGGTGGAGTGGAACTAATGATACTGTATTGAAAACAGAAAGTGCTTTCCATAGAAGTAGACTAATGTCTCAAAGTGCTTTTAGTTTGTCACTGATTAGAAAACATTCTCTACAGGTTTTTACACTTATCTTACAGTGATTTTCAGCAAGTTTACCTAGAAGGAAGATTATATATATTTCTCATTTCAGGAAGCTGGCTATTAGGAACTTTGGTCAGCTATTGTATTGCTCACCCTATAGCATAAAATACCCTTTTTTAAGGCAGTAGCCACCTGGCTACTAATAGCCATCCCTGGATCCTTCCAAGAGGCACGGTGGGGAGCTCGCCCATGCACCCAGCACCCAGACAAGCACTTACGGAAACAGCGGGAGCCAGCTCCCTGCAGACATTCCACACACCAGGAGCATCGAATACAAACATGGCCAAATTTAGCTTCTTAGTCCCCAAAGTCAGACAAACCC